CAACAGCCCCAAAACATCACTGCTCTAGAGGAGATCTGCATGGAGGATGGGCCAACATACCAGCAACAGTGTGTGCCAACCTTAGTGTAAGACTTACAGGAAAACGTTTGACCTCTGTCATTGCCAACAAAGGATATATAACAAAAGTATTGAGATGAACTTTTAATATTGACCAAATACTTATTTTCACCATAATTTGCAAATAAATTCTTTCCAAAATCAGCCAATGTGATTGTTTGGATTTTTTTTCTCATTTTTGTCTCTCATAGTTGAGGTCTACCTATGAGGCCAATTACAGGCCTCTCTCATCTTTTTAAGTGGGAGAACTTGCACAATTGGTGGCTGACTAAATACTTTTTTGCCCCACTGTATATTGTTTTTTTTTTTAATTCACTAAAGTATATTTTTTCCCCAAAAATGTTTTTGAAAAACCACTGCGCACATAATATGTGACTTACAAAATTGCAACGATTGCCAGTAAATATATATGTAATGTCTAATAAGTAATTTTCATCTAGCAAAAAATACAGATCTAAACTTGTAGACAAAACATCCCAGAAAATGCTTGGTCCTCAAATGGATAATATACAGGAGACAGTTCTATAGTACCATCAGTTTTGTTCAGACACTTTACTAAATGGAAGACAAGCAGTTCAGTTCCAATACAATTCTAATACAAGAGGAATCAGAGGGTCCTGCTTGTTAGAACTTACAGCCTAGACGTGGGAAAGGGCTCCTAAAGAGAAAGGTTTTCCAGGGATCACCTAAAGGAGGAAAGAGTAGAATATTGGACAGATTGGGGTAGAGAGTTCCAGAGAACGGGAGAGGCTCTGGAGAAGGCATGCTGCATGACCCAGTAAGGTAAAACCCAAGCTCCTGAAGACTTTGCACGTTAGTGATGAAACGCATAGGGCGGGATCACTGGTACGTCAGTCACTTCCACTTCGCTTGGAATGCACGGTGGAATGTACAGCAGCGTTCCGCGGCTTTGGTAACTGAGATACAGGATTCATACCACTGTAATGTTTGTATGTGCATATATTGTTTTTAACTTGCCATATTTTAATAACAAGTAAACATTATGAGAGTACTGTTACTTTATCTTGGCATAGTTTGGGCTGCACTAAGAATCCATGAATTAGATGCATTAGATGAATGGAGTGTCCCTGGAGGGGGTGAAACATCTCTTTCTTGGCATTCCTTTGATGTATATTGGGCTCCAGAAAGTGTGTATTGACTTTCTGCAAACAACTGGTCACATACCATCTGGTGAGTGTGGTGTGTGGTGGAAAGTCACGCAAGTGCATGGGGTGATTTGCTTGAATAAAATGGTTCTTTAAGAAGTTGTGGCATTTATGAACTTTGTGAAGAGCACTAGAGCACCTTTAATTTAATTTATTTTGGACTAATATTGATTTCATTTATTCTATGATGTGCACGTGTATTTATAGAGTAGGACTGTCAGAACACATTTCTGGAAAGGCATCATAGCTGCAGGAAGATGAATTGCTAGGGAGGGTTCATGGCTTTGGGGAGGTGATCTATTGGGGAGTGATTATGGCTTTGGGGAGGTGATTTGCTGGGGAGGGATCATGGTTTTGGGGAGGTGATCTTTTGGGAAGGGTTCAAGGCTGTGAGGGGTGGGGGTGAGCTGGTGGGGATGGATCATGGCTGTGGGGAGGTGATCTATTGAGGAGGGATCATGGCTTTGGGGAGGTGATCTGCTGGGGAGGGATCATGGCTTTGAGGAGGTGATCTGCTGGGGAGGGATCATGGCTTTGGGAGGTGATTTGTTGGGGAGGGATCATGGCTTTGGGGAGGTGATTTGTTGGGGAGGGATCATGGCTGTGGGGAAGTGATCTGCTGGCGAGGGATCATGGCTGTGGAAGGTGATCTGCTAAGGAGGGATGGTGAGCTGTGGGAAGGTGAGCTGTGTCTGACTGGGGAGGGAAAATGGTAGTGGAGAAATGGTATGCAGAAGAATGGAAACATTCTGTATTTTGTTCACAGTCCTGTCAAATATGTTTAATATGTTAGGATATACGTTAGCAAGTGACAGTCTAGGCCTCCAATAAAAAATATTGTATGTGAATATAGACAGGATTTCACACTTACAATAGGCAACAAAAAAAAGAGTAGTTTACAGCTGGATAAGAACCCAGCATAAGAACTGCACTATTGTTGTTTGAATAATACAAAATTACATTTCTTAGTTGAGAAACTTTTTAAAGAGAAACCAACACATTTTTTTTAAATGTATTTCTTCTTCTTATTTTATTACACTGCAGCTATTGTGATTTTGGGTCATTTACTTTCTTTTTCTTTTTAACAGTTATGCTATTTAACCACTTGACCTTCGGAAACTACTTTATTTGGCAATTGATTGGTAATGCAACACTGTACCCAAATAAAATTTATATAATTTTTTCACACAAATAGAGCTTTCTTTTGGTGGTATCTACTCACCACTGTTTTTTTATTTATTGCTATGCAAATCAAAAAATACTGAAATTTAAAAAAAAAAAAACAAAAAACTTTTTTCTTAGTTTTCTGTTATAAAATTTTGCCAACAAATTATCTTTTTTCATAAATTTAGGCCAAAATGTATTCTGTTACATGTATTTGGTAAAAATAACCCAAATCAGTGTACATTATTTAGTCTGTGTGAAAGTTAAAGAGTCTACAATCTGTGGTATATACAGTATCTCACATGGTGGTGGGAGTGTCATAGTCTGGGGCTGCATGGTGCTGCCGGCACTGGGGAGCTACTGTTCATTGAGGGAACCATGAATGCCAACATGTACTGTGACATACTGAAGCAGAGCATGATCCCCTCCCTTCGGAGACTGGGCCACAGGGCAATATTCCAACATAACGACCCCAAACACACCTCCAAGACGACCACAGCCTTGCTAAAAAGATGAGGGTAAAGGTGATGGACTAGCCAAGCATGTCTCCAGACATAAAAACCCTATTAAGCATCTGTGGGCACCCTCAGTCGTAAGGTGGAAGAGAGTGCAAGGTCTCTAACATCCACTCATGAAGGAGTGCAAGAGGACTCCAGTGGCAACCTGTGAAGCTCTGGTGAACTGCATGCCCAAAAGGGTTAAGGCACTGCTGGAAAATAATGGTGGCCACACAAAATGTTGACACTTTGGGCCCAATTTGGACATTGTCACTTAGGGTGTACTCACGTTTGTTGCCAGTGATTTAGACATTAATGGCTGTGTGTTGAGTTATTTTGAGGGGACAGCAAATTTACATGTTATACAAACTGTACACTGACTACGTCACATTGTAGCAAAGTGTCATTTCTTCAGTGTTGTCACATGAAAAGATAGAATAAAATGTGAGGGGTGGACTCACTTCTGTGAGATACTGTATAATGTTTTATTTTTGGATAGAATGGGGAAAGGTTAAACCCCCTGCCAGTTCTTATTCCTATCTGTATGCTGCAGAGAGTTACACCCTCTATGTCCTGATTGATCAGTCCTGATGTACGGACAGCCTATCTCATTTCCTGAGGCCCTATCCCAAATGACCCCTTTTTGGAAAGTAAACAGTCGAAGATATATAGTAATAGGCATGGCATAGGCATAGGCAAGTTTTTTTTGAAGATTTTTTGAAAAATTAAGAAATTAAATGAAAACATTTTTTCACTTCTTTTTCACATTCTTTTTACATAAAAAATAAATAGTGTTTTTTTCATTTAAAATTTTTTTTTTTAACCACTAGCCTACAGGGCACTTATACCCCCCTCCTGCCCAGGCCAGTTTTCAGCTTTCAGTGCTGTTGCACTTTGAATGACAATTGCGCGGTCATGCAACACTATACCCTACACTATATATATGAAATTTTTATAATTTTTTTGAGACAGATAGAGCTTTCTTTTGGTGGTATTTAATCACCTCTGGGTTTTTTTATTTTTTGCTAAACAAACCAAAAACAACTGAAAATTGTAAAAAAAAAAAACCAAGTTTTTTTCTTAGTTTTTGTTATAAAAATTTTTGTAAATAAGTGATTTTTCTCCTTCCCTGATGTGAGCTAATGAGGCTGCAGTGATGAGCACTGATAGGCTGCACTGATAGGTGGCACTGATGGGCACTGATGAGGAGGCACTAGTAGGTGCCACTGATGGGCATTGACAGGCATCACTGATGGGCACTGAAAGGCAGCACAAAAACAAATTGAGCTGCAAACCTAACCTATATCATATATACGGTGTGAAAACTATCAAAAAACAGGCTGCGCTTTAAATGTACATAAATATCAATGAAACAGATAGGTATATAAGTGAAGTTCAATAAACAAAAGAAAAAAAGTCCAAAGTATAGATAAAATAATCAATAGAGTCCAAAGTGTAAATAACACCAAGTGAATCCGCCACCAAAATGAGTTAGGTAAAACTCACCAGAGCAATATGCTGATTCTGTGATAAACCAGCATATAGCGCTTGTTGCTCTGGGAGCAATGATCTGTGTGGTAGCAGCAACACTTGAGGCTTTTAGAGGATGAATTCCAGGGAGTAATGCTCTGCAGAGCTGAATATCCACTTCAAAACAACTTATAGACATCCACACTGAGGTTCAAACCGCCACTCAGAAGAAAGAACATAAGAGCTCATGGTGCCATATGTAATGGAATCACAGCTTTAATAAAAAATGCACTTACAGAAGAAGGTGTCCAGACCAACACCAGTGTGAATCGCATAAACAAATAAAAGCAAACCCAGCCTGGCTTGCAAATGCGCCGTACAAACGGATCAGGAGCGTGCTGACGTCACATCCAAAGGCTACGCCCTACGAGTTTTGTCATCGACGTCCTCACGGAGCGGGCGTGGGGTTCTGCTGCCTCTCATACTGCTTTATATTCAGGGTGAGAGATTCACATATTAAATTATGTAATGATAAGGGGGAGGAAGAGCATTGTAAGAAAAAAAAATATAAATAAAATTGTTTTCTCAGGATCCTGGGCACAGGTTACACTGACACAGACTCCGAATGAGATCTCTGCAACTCCAGGACAGACAGTCACCATCTCGTGTAAATCCAGTGCTATTATCAATGACTACTTACACTGGTACCAGCAGAAAGCAGGACAACCTCCAACACCGATTATCTGGCGTGCAACCAATCTGCAGTCTGGAGCCCCATCCAGGTTCAGTGGTTCTGGACTTGGAATAAATTTAAACTCTTACAATTACAGATGTAAAGGATGAAGATGCAGCAGTTTATTACTGTCAGCATGCTTTGGAGTTTACATTCACAAAATGATACAGAGCCGTACAAAATCTCCATCTTTTAGTATCAATGAAGCCTCTGATCATTTTAACCACTTCAAGTCCAGACACTTTCACCCCCTTCCAGTCCAGGCCAATTTTCAGCTTTCAGCGCTATTGAAGGAATTGACCGAGGGCTGGGCCCACAGATTCAGAGGGTACACGATGCCACACAGACACAGACAGCGGTTTCTTTTATAAAACAAAAATTACGTTTACTGAACAGTTATAGTGATCATGTAGTTGAGCATACGTAAACAGAATGATAACAGCGCATAACCATACAGTAATATATAATACTGTCTAACACTAACCCAGTACTTGCGGACTTTCCCCCCAATGTCCACAAAGCAGCCTGGCTGCGCCTGAATGTTCCTGAGCAAGATATAACGTTGGAGTGCACCCTAAGTATTGCGCAATACTATTTGTAATCCAAAGGAAAGTGGAGTGTGTCTCTTGTAACTTTCTGGTATATCCAAAATGTCACTGACCACGTGTGGTGCGATGTGCTGTGGCAAAGCCGGACTTACAGTTCCCTGGCAGGCTCTTGGTGCTTTCTCCTGACCCACTCCGGAACCGGACCATACAGTCACTTGTTACTGCTCTCGTGGATCTTCCTTAAGTGCCCTCGCCAGATAAATCCACTGTGCTAGCCGTAAATCCTCTTCCAGGCCCCACACAGATTCTCCAGACGTCCTCAGCATCCAACAGCCAGACCCAGACTCCACTTCCTCCTCAGCACGGAACCCCTCCCCTTCCCATAGAGTTTGTGATGCAGTAAGTCATTTCTTAATTGCAGCCATCAAACCTGCATTTACAGTTCACTATACCCTTCTGAGGGTCCTACTCGGCCCCTAAATTAGTATTCATTAAACTTTATAGGGTAAATAAGCATTTATCTTGTCTTAGCAAAAGTCACTACAAAACCGATTCTTGTACTTTGCTGCCATCTACTGACCAAAGAGCATATTGCAGTTTAACATTACACACCAGTATTAATCCATGGGTCACACTCTTACAATATCACACTTTGAATGACAATTGCGCGGTCATGCAACACTGTACCCATATTAATTTTTTGCATTTTTTTTAGATAGAAAAACTTTATTTTCGTAGTATTTATTCACCACTGGGATTTTTATTTTTTTGCTATATAAATGAAAAAGGCCAAAAATGTTGAAAAAAAAAGTGTTTTTCTTATAAAAAATTTTGCAAATAAATAATCTTTCTTCATATATCTTGACCAAAATGTATTAATCTATCTTATTAGTAAAAAAAAAAAAAATAACACAAATTAGTTTATAATCAAAAATTATCATTTTTCTTTACATTTTTATTTTATTTTTTTATATTGTTATTTATATTTTTTTTTTTTTTAAAACATACTGATTTTTTAGTGTAGTTCCGGGTTTGCTGAGAAGAAACACATTTTTGATTATCTGAACATATTGCAAAGATAAAGGAGAAGTGTGGGGTTTCTAAAAAAATAATCCTTCATACTCACCTCGCTGTTATGCTGCAACTTTCCCATTTCAGCTGTAAGACCAAGAACTGAGTGATCGATCCGTATGACTGCTGATTGCTCTGTTCTCAATCAGCTCAGAACAGAGAACACTGACTGTCAATCACCACCCTCCACTCTGTTTCTCTAGTGCTCACTGGAGAGCCAAGCTGGAGAGAATGGGGGGGGGGGGGGGGGCAGCTAGCTTTGGCTCTCCACCATGTACTCAGAGCCAGAGCCAGCTGTCAATCAGGCAGCTGGTATGTCCCTACATTATGGTCGTAATTCTTAAAGAGCCTGGAGTTGCTCTGCACTGTCAGATAGCAGCAGGCTATCGCCCACTGTCAGCTGATTCTGGGTAACAGGAGAGCAAATGTAAGTGCATTCCTATGACCCAGAAGGGAAGTATGGCCAAAAAAGCTTTGGCCATACTTCTCTTTTAACAACTTTTTTCAAGAAATGTTTACTTTATCCTTCCAGACTGATTAAATACTGTATAACCACATAAGCTCAGGGTTCTACTAGGAAAAGCTGCAGTGTCTGCATCACTTAAGGCTCATTCACATGCTGATCAAGGCTGTACACAGCCAAGAATCAGTATAAACCTCTAGTGGCCAGGAAACCTATACAAATCAATAACAGGCAATGCAGCTGTCCAGAGCCCATCAGTTGTGCACAAGGGTGTACATAATCACTTCAGGTTGCCATATTGAATGGAAGCAAGATTTGACTTTAACATTGACTTTTGACATTTTCATACATTTCAGGGCTTGCAGAGTGAAATGCAAAGGTCATTTTTAATAACAATATATTACAAAAAGGCATGTGTATCAACTACATCAGTGGTGGTCAACCTGTAAATTATAGAGGGCCTTAAGTGCTGACAATTGATAAATTTTGTATGAATTGACCCATAATCCCTGTAATTAACTTTTGGGTAGTTTACATTCTGATGCTGGACAGTACCAAATAGCACCATCACCGGAAATGTGCACACTATTTACTGCATAGCAGTACAGCAATGTGATATAGAGAAAGGGCAGCACCCACGTGCAATACTTTTTTTGTTGGATTTAGATTCAGGGTGGTGAAAATTGCCAGTTTCAATGATGAAAGAATACTTCATGAGAAATTAACAATCGCTAAACATTCTCTGCATGTGAATATTTCAGGTACATGAATTTCAAATGTCAGAGATCCATTCACCCCAATGAATGCGTGGTGAATGTCACATTCACTATTTTAAAAATAAGTCCCATTAATTGTTGGGCATTGTGGATAAAAGCATTTTGGACATATTTCTCACTGTGTCATTTTCTTGACAAAGGTGTCCTTTTATGACACAGAATAGCTGTGATTCAGAGGATCACAGCTATTCTCTGGTCATTCACAGTTTTAACACTCAGGAAAACATGTTCAGCCCTTCACTGGAGATCTGTGTTCTCCCTCCAGATTCTCCAGCCCAGAGCTGGAGAATCGGAGGGACCGCAAACCAAGCAGAGATAATTTACCTCTGTTTAGTAAACTGATCTTTTACTGTAATCTCACGAGATTATAGTAAAATCAGCGTTTTCCAGCGTTTGGAGACCGTTTTCCCTTAGTTTGGAGAACTGATCTACAGTTGCAAGAAAAAGTATGTGAACCCCTTGGGATTACGTGGAGTTTTGCATGAATTGGGCATAAAATGTGCTCTGAACGTCATCTAAGTCACAACAATAGAAGAACACAGTCTGCTGAACATAATACTACACAAACATTAGATGTTGCCATGGTTTAATTGCACATAACATGTAAACATTCACAGTGCAGGGAGGAAAAAGTATGTGAACCTTTGATTTAATAACTGGTTGACCCTCCTTTGGCAGGAATAACCTCAACCAAACGTTTCCTGTAGTTGCAGATCAGACCTGCACAACGATCTGGAGTAATTTTGGACCACTCCTCTTCACAAATTGTTTCAGTGTAGAAATATTCTTGGGGATGTCTGGTGTGAATCGCTCTCTTAAGGTCATGCCACAGCATTTCAATCGGGTTGAGGTCAGGACTCTGACTGGGCCACTCCAGAAGGCGTATTCTGTGCTGTTGCAGCCATTGTTTTGTTGAATGACTTGTATGCTTTGGGTCATTGTCCTGTTGCATCACCCATCCTCTGCGGAGCTTCAGTTGGCAGACAGATGGTCGTACGTTTTCCTGCAAAATGTCTTGCTAAACTCTGGATATTCATTTTAATCAATGACAACAATCCGTCCAGGCCCTGAGGCAGCAAAGCAGCCCCAATCCATGATGCTCCCTCCGCCATGTTTTACAGTGGGGATGAGGTTTTGATGTTGGTGTGCTGTGCCTTTTTTTCTCCACACATAGTGTTGCTGTTTCTTCCCAAACAACTCAATCTTGGTTTCATCTGTCCACAGTAATTTTGCCAGTAGTGCTGTGGAACATCCAGGTGCTCTTTTGCAAACTTCAAACGTGCTACAATATTCTTTTTGGACAGCAATCAGGCTTCCCTCGTGGTGTCCTCCCATGTACTCCATTCTTGTTTAATGTTTTCCTTATTGTAGATGTGTCAACAAAAATGTTAGCATGTGCCAGAGATTTTCTGTAGGTCTTTAGCTGACACTACTGGGACTCTTCTTTACCTCATGCAGCATTCTGCGCTGTGCTCTTGCAGTCATTTTTACAGGACGACCACGCCTAGGGAGAGTAGCAACAGTGCTAAACTTTCTCCATTTGTAGACAGTCTGTCTTACCGTGGACACATGAACATCAAGGCTTTTGGAGATACTTTTGTAACCCTTTCCAGCTTCATGCAAGTCAACAATTCTTGATCATAGGTCTTCTGAGAGCTCTTTTCTGCGAGGCATGGTTCACATCAGAGAGTGCTTCTTGAAACCAGTAAACCCAAAACAGGTGTGTGTTTTTTAAGGGCAGGACAGCTGTCAGCAACACATCCAATATCATCACACTGATTGGAGTCAAGGTTGGCTTACTCCTGGCTCCAAATTAGCTCTGGGAGAAGTCATTAAGCTAGGGACTCACATACTTTTTCCTCCCTGCACTGTGGAATGTTTACATGTTATGTGCAATTAAACCATGGCAACATCTAATGTTTGTGTAGTATTATGTTCAGCAGACTGTGTTCTTCTATTGTTGTGACTTAGATGACGTTCAGAGCACATTTTATGCCCAATTCATGCAAAACTCCACGTAATCCCAAGGGGTTCACATACTTTTTCTTGCAACTGTACATATGCTTCATAAACGGCATTCACAGGAGAACTGTGTTCTCCGAGAATGCCGGAGAACTGAGCAGCGATCTATTACTGCTGGTTCATAAAACGGACACCTTAATCAGTTACATCTACACATTTCAGTATTGTATAAGTTTACAGTTATTTTTCTCTTTTCTCTCTTTTAATATATATATAGTTAAGATCTAATATTATTTATGAATTAATCCTAAATGCAGGTAACACGGTGGCATTATAATATTATAATTAAAACCAGTTTTCATAAGTAACATTTATTTATTTTTATCATTGCAAGTCAAACTGTGGCTGGAAACCACAAGATTTGCATTAATTTCCATACACTGCCAGTGAGTGTGTGTGTGGTGGTGGGGGGGGGGGATAACACCTCCCCTGTCACTCTCTCTATATATCTCATTGTACAGGAGACGTCTTCTAGTTTGGATCTGACCCTCCAGAAACATCAAGATGCTTTCTCCCAGTTATCTGCTGGCTGTCATCTTCATTTCTATTCAGGGTGAGAGATGAGGCTCCTTCCATCCTCCTCTGCACATACATCTATACATTGTACAATAAATACACACATCAGGATTGATAGGAAGATATCCAGACATTGATCAATAATCAATATGTCTCTTCCCATCCTCAGGATCCTGTGGAGAGATTGTGATGACTCAGACTCCGGATTCTATCTCTGTGTCCCCGGGACAGACAATCACCAACACATGTACATCCAGTGCTGATATTTTATTCCGGCTTAGCCTGGTACCAACAGAAGCCCCAACAACCTCCAAAGCTTCTTATCTAATTATGCTCAAGCACTCGTCTATCTGGGATCCCGGACAGGTTCAGTGGTTCCAGATCTGGAAATGTATACAAACTAACCATCCACTGGAGGGACTGAAGATGATGAAGGAAGATATTACTGTTTGCAGTATGACACCACCCCGTTCACACAGTGATACAGAGCCGTACAAAAACCTCCTTCCTCTTTATAACCCCCAGCAATCAAACGTGTAATAACATAACATACAAATAGCTGTAATACATTTTTGAAAATTAATTGTGATCATTATCAGAGAAATTATTATTATAATTTTACACAAATGAAAACGGTGTCACCCATATCAACCATCTGATAATCTGCTGCCATTTCATAAATGGTATGAGCTGCAATCTATCTGGTTGAAAAAGATAACAGACACCTTTTTTCAATTGTAAGCCTGGGATCACACTATGCGGTGCAGGACACCACATGTAATTCGCATAGGAATCGCACTACATTCCTGTGCAAATTACATGCAATTGTCTGCGCGGTGCGATTTGAGCCATACATTTTGTATGCTCAAATTGCATCGCATCTGCACCACAAAGGTGCACGGCCCTTTTTTAAATCCACACCTATATCACATCGCATGGATGTTCTCAGCCATATGATATGATTTATGGCAATGACATTGCGTTTTGCTATGTGCCATTAAGTTATCATTGACACACGCACACACACCAGATCGCATGAATGCGATTGCAATGCGATGTGGTGCAGGAAACTCACAAGATTCGCAGGCGTTTCTCGCACGCATTGGTGTGAACCCGGGGCTTACAGTAAGCAGTACAGCTCTTGCTAAAAGTCTAATTGTAAAGTATACTGTATATAAACACCGATCACTAATATCTCATAGAAGATTTAACATT